AAATGTTTACTTACGCTTACCAAATAAAAAGAAGTGGTTTAGGGTTTTCTTGGGTATTTTGTCCTCCCTTTTACATGAATTTCATTAAAATATTTAGTCTATAATATCTACTTGAATATGAGATGATTTTGAACCATATAAACGATCCCGAAAACAATATTTCTTAGCCTATCTAGTTGGATTCCGAATTGTCTTTGGTTCAAGTGTTTCCATTGGAAAATTTTATAACCCTTTTGAGTTGGGTTTTACGTTTCGACTATGAAACCCTAGTTATTTTTGTTCATGGGTCCAAATGTCCTCGTTTCACTTTAAAGTCTTTTATACGTTCTACTCATCAATTGTTGAGTTCTTTGATTTCACCTAATTGTTTGTATTAGATGAGTTGTAATATTCTTTCTTGTTTAATCTTAGGTTTTCTTGGTGACTAAAGATAATATCCGGAAGGATATTTTGCACGTTGTTTTGCGTATATAGATGAGTGTTCCTTGTTTGTTATATTTTCTTGACTTATTGGCTTGTTATTATTGATTGATAATGTGTTAAGTGCTTTCAATGATTGTTAAAATGAGTTTTCTAGGCGAGTGTGTACTTTATCGCACTCGACCTAAATAAATGTGAAATTTTCAATGATTAAATGCTAGTTGCGCATGAATGTAAGCCGTTTGGCTGAACTGGGCCCTGCCCTTCGTTACCGATCGACTCGAGTCAGAAGCGGACTCGGTCGAGCGATATGGTGACCCTGGGTGTGAACGTTGGTATACTCGAGTATTACCTTGTAGGTTGGTGGAGCCTGACTAATGTCCAGGAGGGGGTGAATGAAATGAAACGAACGATTTAACGAGGATTTTATTTACAAAAAATGCATTTTCAAACGATTGGAGGAATAAGAGGAAATGTCAGGAGAACGAATGAACGAACGAAAGCATGGCTCCCTGTGAGCCCGTATCCTTTTAATGAATGTGTTATTATCGCTTTCCATTGTAAATATTTCTTGAATTATTGATACTCTATGTTTAACGTATTGGATTGATTGTTTGGTTATGTGTTCGAAACCTCACTGAGCTTTGAGCTCATCCCTTTAGTTTTGTTTTCCTTAATAGGGGAAGATGGGCAATGACGAGAGCTCGGTACAGACTAGTTTGGTCTAGTTCTTTCATTTCTTTTGTAATGGTTCTCGCCCTAGTGCTTGGCATGGACTGGATGTATGAGGAATTGAGAACCTTTGTATATTCAATGATTGAACTCCCTTTTGAGATAGAAATGTAAATAAGTTTCGTTTTAAATTTTGGATTTTGTTACACAAATTCTTGTGGTTTTATTCTGATTTTGATTGAGGTATGACTGAGTCCCGGCGAGAGCTAGGCAGGCGGTCCACTGAACCCTTTGGTTCGCCTTAGGGTAAGATGGGGCTATCACATTTACGTTTTGTTTAGTCTTGAGTTATACCTTACATGCTAGCTGTAACCTGAGATTGAAAGGAATCCTAAGGAACTTACAAGTGATATCTTGTTGATATACGCGTGCGAAAGCATGCAAATCTGATGCATGCATGGCTGCACAAGATTTGCAGCTAGCTGCAGAAACGAAACCGAACTCAGTTTTTCTTTCTCCTTTGAATCCTAGTCATGAGCGACCTTGTTTAGCTTAGGATAACCTGCAACAAACAAGGTTAAAGCAAGTGGAAAACTGAAGTGAACAATGGACGACTCTTGACTGCACAAAAAGACCTCATTGCTCCTGACCTATTTTCATGTGGTTCTGGTCGTCCACTTTAGACCCTGAAAACATGACAACTAGGTATCGATATCTTCATAAGAAATGTAGGTTTATATCTTAGCTTCGAAACGCTATAAAATTTGCCTCAATCCGATAAGTGCAGCTCTAGTTATGATCGAAATACCGGAGGATGGCAAAGCTGCCTTTCTTGTTGCCTTTCATTTTGTTTCTAAATGCACTTGCTAAGATGCTAGCCATGAGGAACTAGTTTTAACCAGCATTTCTTCTAATTTCCAACCTATAAGCTTTCATAAATGATAGCTACGATTGTTCTGAGAATTAACGACTATACCTAGTTTCATGAGTAGAGTTAAACTAAGACGATTGAGTAAAAAACTCATGATAGTTGATGACAGATTTTTGTGCATAATTTGGATGAACCATTAGCTACAATTAGATGTTTCTTATCCTAATCCATGTTAGATCAAGTGTATGTTAAGTATTTGGCGTTTTAATCAAGTGAAAAATGAAGTTCTTGACCGAAAGCTTGAAGTAATATTGCTGAATTTACGTGGATTTGTTGAATGGTAATGAGTTAAGACTTATTTGATGTTTTAGAAACTCTAAGGTAATTTGTTATGGCTGTAAACATGAAATGGCTCCTAATTACTTAAGTTGGTTTCTAATTACTTAATATTGTCTTCACAAATATTTTAAAGACTATCAAATTTGAGAGGCTAGTGTAATGAAATAAAATTTAAAGTGCACACAACTTAGACCTTGGCTTGTTAAAAGGAGAACCAATGGAGTGTTCCCAAGCTTGCATCTTAGGATTTTGAGTGGAAAATATGTTACAGTTAATGTAAATACCTATAAGATTATAACCATAGAGCATATGTATAATTCTTGGTTTAAATGATAAAATTAATAAGTTTCAAAATAAAATGGGGAATAAACAGTAAATAGAGAATATATTTGTATTTCAAGGTCAAACTTGATTTTAATAGTTTAAATAATAATGTAAGAATGATAAATGATCATCTACAGATTATATATTTACCTTGAAATTATTAACTTGTCCCAAGAAATAGCTATGAGCCAGGAAACAAACCCAAGGCTCGAGAATAAATTATTTGGATAATTGGTGAGTGTTCCTTGTTTGTTATATTTTCATTGCCTATGTGGCTTGTTCTTGCTTATATGACTTGTTATGAACGAATGATAACATGTTAAATGTTTTCAATGATTTCTTAAAATGAGTTTGTTAGGCGAGTGTGTATTTTATCACACTCGACCTAAATGAAATGTGAAATTTTCAATGGTTAAGTCATTAAATGTTAGTTGTGCATGAATGTAAGGCTCTTGGCTGAACTGGGTCCTGCCTTTCGTTACTGATCGACTCAAGGCAGAAGCGGACTCGGTCGGGCGATTTAGTGACCCTGGGTGAACGTTTGGTATACTCGAGTATTACCTTGAAATCTGGAGCCTGGCCAATGTCCGAGAAGGGGGTGAATGAAATGAATGAACGAATGTCAACGCAAATGAGGGGTTTTACTTATCAAAATGTATTTTCAAATGATTGGAGGAATAAGGGGAATTGACAGGAGAATGAATGAACGAATGAATGAATGGTTTCTTGTGAGCACGTATCCTTTTAATGAATGTGTTCTTATCGCTTTCCATTGTAATGTTTCTTGAGTTATTGATTGTTTATGGTAATTGCATTGAACTTATCACTTGATTATATGTTCGGAACCTCATTGAGCTTTTAGTTCATCCCTTTCGTTTTGTTTTCCTTAATAGGGGAAGACGAGCAAGGACGAGAGCTCGGTGTAGGCTAGTTTGGTCTAGTTCTTTCATTTCTTTTGTAATGGTTCTCGCCCTAACACTTGGCATGGGCTGGATGTATAAAGAATTGAGAACCTTTGTATATTCAATGGTTGAACTCCCTTTTGAGATAGAAATGTAGATAAGTTTCGTTTTAAGTTTTGGATTTTGTTATACAAATTATTGTGGTTTTATTCCGGTTTTGATTGAGGTCTAAAGTGAACGACTGAGTCCCAGCGAGATCTGGGCAAGCGATCCGCCGAACCCTTTGGTCCGCCTTAGGGTGAGGTGGGGCTGTCACAACATCCCTCTCTTAGGTCACATATACTTATCTAATATTATAATTTTTTTTTCGAGTCTCACTCTTTGCATATTCGTGATCTCTTCTAAAAATCATTTTGAGCGTCACAATTAATGTAATTTGTACCAATTAAATTTTGAAGAGATATTTTGACCCTTTCGATATCCTTTAGATGTAGATTTGCATCCATGTAGAAACATTCAAATGTGATCAGTTTTATGGGTTAGATGAAAACAATTTTTGACTAAATCTCGTAATTAGTTTTGGTTAGGTTGAAAGGGTGCTTTAGATTTGATTGTATCAAATCTTTGCCTTCCCTTTTTTCAACCCTGACTCCTCAACTATTTTCTCTTTTTTTCAAAAATCAGAAATCGTCTAAAAAGGGTTCTGTCCATTTTTATTATTATTAAAAAATACATTTTTAGGTAATTTGGTACACCTAAATTCGATACCAAGTGGCGACTCCTATTTCTTCTTAAAAACCTTTTTTAGACTATTATTTTGGGCCAAAATCGTGGCACTTTTTTAAGTCCCATTTTAGGCCTTTTTTCTTTATTTATCCTCTAAAATAAAAAACTCATTTTCCAAATCAAAAATTCATTTTTCTAACACCTAAAATTTTATTTTATTTTTTCAACATTTTTTTTCAAATCCCATTTTAGCCCCTTTTTCTTTATTTATTTTCTAAAAATAAAAAACTCAATTTTTCAATGCACTCATCTTTTAATACATTTTTTGAACTCTACACCATTTAATTCTTTTTCGAAAAAATGGGGCGCAACACCATTCTCATTCTTCAAACCATTCTATGATAAAACTCCATATTTTGACAAACCTATAATCGTGCATTCACTGTTAATGTTGAGGTTTCAGAAATTAAAATTCTGAATTCTAGTTCTTGCGCTCCCTTCCTGTTTCTCAAATCCCATCTCTCTTTAGTTAGTAAAAAAAATTTTCAAAATATGGACGTTCACTAGAATAAGTATATATTTGTGCATAATTTATGTGGTTGGAAAGTCCTTTTATACATAAATAAACCATTCAAACAAGAAGGGGTAGATGGAGGAAAGGAAAAACAGAACATACATCATTTGCATTAAATTTAAATTCGATCAGTATCTTTGTTGTAATTACATCGATGTCAATGTTAATCGAATTGGCACTAATAATTCATAAATAATCAGCATTTAATCAACTATATAACAAAATCTCAGTTAAATGAAGTTCAATATGAGCATATGCACTTGGACAATCTAATTGAATTGAGTACATGTTCAACAGCTCCATCCACCTGGTGGACTAAGAGCTAACACAAGAAAAGAGTGAAAAATGACCACCTAAACCAGTAATACATTACACTAAAGCACTACAAGATGCAACTTATTTCAGCAGGAACATCAATAAATTGCTTATCTTGGTAAATTTTGAACCAGACCTTGGGTGGATTTAAAGCACTATGCTTGAAGTAGTATAGAAGTGGACTTAGCCAACAAACCAGCTGGGATCACCAACAAACCAGCTGGGATCACGGGGGAAGAACCTTTACTAGCTGCCTTGCTTTTGTGTCCGTTGACATGCAGAAGCCAGATGGAGACAATGAGCTCTTATCCTGGTATTTCGTCACAAACATAGTTTCAGCATTTAACTAAATGCTTTGAACCAGTTGTGAATTGAAATGGAATCCAATCAATAGCTTATAACATATACTTGGCTATAAACAAGACACTTATGGCTTGTTATTGACCTCTTAATAAAAAGTAACATAATTTCTTCATTAACTGCACTGTAGGAATCAAATCATCGCCCTCTATAGATTAACAATCTAATCCAGAGTAGCAAGAAATCCACCCCTCTCACATAAACTTGTGGTTACCTCTTTGAACATGAAAATGGCATTGGAAGATGCTTGAAGCTAGATGTGTCAAACAGCTCCATGAATCTCTGATCAGATATTCTAGCCTTCGCTGCTGCAAAGCGTTGGTACTCATCAAACACAGAAGTCAAGCACCATCTCTGCAATTTTCTCAAGCATCCCACAAGACAACCAGTTCGGTGCTGCAACAACAAAAGCAGCCGTAGGTGCCAGTTTACAAAATTAGGTCTGTACCTGTCAGTTATAAGAATACAACAAAACTAACAATACACCAACCTTTCCTCTTTTGCAGTGGATCAATAGAGGATGATTCCTCGCATCTGTAGTAAAGGAAAAACAAGTATGTTAGTAAACTCTGCCACCATTGGATTATCAAAGATAAGCAATATGAAGGCATGGTAGAATAAGTTATAAGCTACCAATGACAACTTTCAATGCTTCACGTATAGTATCCTCTGGAATGTTGACGAACGGTTCCTGAATACCAAATGGTGAACATCATTTGCATAACAAAATTATGATTCAATTAAAGAAATCTTTGGCACAAGAAACATTTGTAATATCAGTAATTCGAAACAGACAATTCAGTTGCAGAGTCAAATTCCATCCTCCAAAGAATGGAACTACAATGCACGAAGAAAGAACCCATGATGCAATTTTAGGAACATGTACTTCAACACAAGCCCCAAAGATGAAATATGCAATCCCAAAATATGCTTCCGATAGATTAATTCTATCAATATGACTTTGTCCAAATTAGTGTCCCAAAAGTGGAATCCAATAAAGCCTGGAAAATAGCTTCACCTAAGTTGGTGAATATAAACATATGAAACCATCCAATTAAACTTTATCTTCAAGCTTCAGTTGATGTTATGCAGCTTTATATTTCTGTTCAAGTGATTTAACCTTCAAATCATCATTTGACACCTTCATCATGACATATGAACCAAATAAAAAAAAAAAGAAAAAGAAAGAGAAAAGAAAAAGAAAAAGAGAAACGAAGAAAGAACACATGCAGACACATACATCCAAAAGAATAGAGAAGAAATTAGTGGTTTTCTTTCACTACCCAGACCAAACTTCCTAACAAGATGCCGCTTGCCATTGAACCAGATTCTATATTAAAAAGCCTGGACAAAAATTGAAAGTCCAATTATCATCCAACTTGACTGTGCAGGAAGAACATCCAACCTCAGACATATTTGATCAAATGGCTAGCTGATAGCCAAGGATGTGAAAGCTAATGCAGATCCATTCTTACTGCTGTTATATTAAGACATTGCAATTCTACAAAACTGCAATATAAGGATCAGAAACGAAATGGTCAAGCCTATCAATTCCCCTTCCCCTCTCCCACCCCCAACATAAAGAAGAATGGTAAAAATAAAAGAAATGACTTATGGAACTCAATGCCTAGTTATTTCATGATAAGAATGACAAATTTACTAGACATTGTGAAGCTCAATGCCAATGATGCTATTAAACAGGTATGATTAATGATTGTTTTTCTCAGTAATATTCATAGTCTCTTGAGGAGCTAAAGAAAATCATATAACATATACCATAGCATCAATGACCTGGCTCTAAGTAACTACCCGGTTTTGAAATTTAAAAGGCTAACATACAGTTTATGCTTCTGATTGATAGAGATAAAGATAGAGATTATTTCTAGTATTATATGATTGTGACCACCTCATATGGTGGAATGATAGTGTCCCAGAACTTATCTTCTTTGTCCTACTGTCTCCGTGAAGACATGCTACTGTAGTTTTGCCCACAACACACACTCAAATCAAAAGAACAACATTATCCCTCTTTTTTTCCAAAATTTTAGAGCTCCTAATTATGAAACTTAATGCCATAAAACTCTTAAAATATGAAGGGATCCAACTTTCACATGACTGAAATATTACAAGATAGAAATTATGCATATCATTAACTGAATCATGAATGTGCATCAACCGAAACATAAAATTGCAACTGTTGCACCAGTATTTTCAGATTCATCCTATCATGCGATGAAGCAAGCAAATACATGTGTATCAGAACTGAAATGTCAAATTCATTAAACATATCCACACTGCATGTGTAGAAAAGAAAATCCGAGCACAAGTACAAGAAGAAGATTGCTTTCAAGTTCACCTTTCTTTACAGATTCAAGCTTCCATGATTATGTTCCCCGGTCAAGAATTGTCACCCAGCTTTTGTTGCAATAGGTTTTGTAGTGAGGAAAGAATTGGAAAATGTTTTTAATATCTATGAAAATCGTTATCTAAAGAGATTGGAAAGTAGTGGAAAAGAAATGCAGAAAGAAATGCAAAAAGAAATGAAAGGCATCTACGATTCCAAAAATGGAATATTCTCCAGCACAAGCAAAAAGAACACTCATTAAAAATAAAGCATCTAACTGAATAGTAATCATCAAACCAGCAACTCTATTCTCTTTCTCTTGAATCTTCATAAAATGTAGTACTACTAAATACCTTTCTCCAGCACTTGCATCAATATTAGATATACTGCCACTAACTTTTACTATTACTCAAACCCAGAAGAATTCATGAACTCCTCATGATGACACACTCTCTTCTACTGTGAATCAATAATTGCCATTTTCTAATTTCTGTATTTTGCCTCCCTATCTTTCTAGGTCCAACTATCTGCATGACAAAGTTGAATTGCGTTACTATAAACAAAACCCATTATCCCAAACACCCAATAATTGTTAATTCTTCGCCACAAAAGTCAAAATCAAATCAATATTAGAAAAGGAGTAGAAAAATTGAAGCAATGTAATCAAAGGGCAAAAGCCCAACTTTTACCTTAGCTCCATCAATCCCAAACTGGTATAACTGAATCCCATTTGCCATCAGAAAGTCCATGTTGGCTTCCGGATATGGCTCTGGACAAAGATATCTGTAATCCACAAAAATAAATTGGAAAAAAAAAAAAGAAGCCTGTGATCATCCCTCCAAATGGAAATCCGTTTGAATTACGATTTTTTTTTATTTCAGTTTTGCAAGAAACAATTTTCCATAATTTATAACACTTATTATCCTAAGCAGCTCAATCATTCCTACATCCAAACTCAAAAAAGTTGCATTAGCAACCAATTTTTCAGGAATCACAGTGTTTATTTTTCTGAAAACAATTTTCCAATTAACTGTAAAAATATGTACCCAATAAATCCTGACAAAGTTTACTTACATGATGGAACGAAGGGAGAGGGATTGGAGGAAGGAGAAGTTGGTGGAGTTAGGGAAGCCAGAGCGGAAAATGCCATTGTCAACCATAGCAAAGTTGAGAGGAGGAATAAACATCTCTTCATCATCATTCACGGTGGTTGGCGGTGGCGTGAGCTTCACTGCTGGCAAGACTTGAGGCTGAGAGGGCGGTTCAATGATGGCAACTTCAATGGTTCTGCACATATTTTCTTCACTCGGGATGACTACAGTTTGCTCTTTTTCTTCTTGTTCTTGATGCAAATTGTGGTCGATTTTCATAATTCAGATGGTACGGATTCACAAAGAATGAGAAGGAAATCAAAGGAGGAGTATAGGATTTTTGCTGCTACTGGTATTATTGAAGAAGAAGAGGATTCTTGTGATACTTGGACTTGAGAGGGGTGATGAGGTGGGGCTTATTTGGGGTGCGGTTTCTGCCGTTATTTATAGAGTTGGAACTTGGAAACTTGGAACTTGGAAATTTGTAATACTGAGATAGATGGCCATTTTTAAAGGTTAAAGTGGGAGGTGGACCACCCATATAGTTGAAGGTTAAGGGTCCAGTAGAAGTTATGAGAATTTAAAAAAAAAAATGGCTGTATATAACTTTCAAAGTTTTGTTTCAAAATGGAACTGTCCATAATAAATATACTTCATTGTTTATTTAAATTACACCGAAAAAGTAAGATTGACATATGAATCAAACAACTTGATAGTCTAATCTAAGATTTGAAAAAAAGTTCATTCAAAATTGATTTGCCTGTTAGTCAAACAAAATAATAACAGTATTTTTGCGTATGGTAAAGTTTTAAATTGAATTCAAATTCACTTTTAGTGGTTAAGGCCGAAATCCGAAAATTAGAAATTTTAGATTCAAATTCTCATTCCTCATCTCCTTCCCCTTCCCTGCTTTTTAAATCTCACATCTCTCTTATGTTTTCTTAAATGTTAGTCAAACTCAACTCAAACTTGGCTCAATAAAAGGTCATTTAAGTTGGGGTTGGTAAATATATAAACTAAGTTGAGCACAATTTCATGCTTGTTAAAAATAGATAAAAACATGAAATTTGGAATATTTGGTTTAATTAGATTCGTTTATACCCCTATCAAAAAGTAAGCTTAAATAGAATAAATTATGCCTTTGATTTGATTATTACATCTTTTGACATGGATTTAACTAATTTTGCACATCTAAATGGTCCATATAGTTAGGCCACCACCAAAGTTTTTAAGGATTGGAGGGGTGGATCGTTAAGGATTCAAACATTACTTCCTATCACTTATCATTATATGTGACTTGCCACTTTAAATGATTTTCTCTAAATCCGGCTATGTGTTTAGTCCCCATCAATTCCTTGTTTTTAAGGTTTGGTGGGGGTGGAAGATCATGGGTTCAAATCTTACTTCCATCACTTGTCACTATACGTGGCTTGTCACTTGAAATAGCTTTCTCTAAATCCATATAGTTGTGTGTCTTTAGTCCCCATCGATTCCTGTAGGTTCAGTTGAGCCCTCTCCTAGAATAGGTTAGAGTAAGAGTAGGAATAAATGTAGAGTAGATAAGTGACGAATGCCACATCATCTGAATTTAAATTTAAACATCAAATTTTGTATATGCAAATTTAAATATCAAATTTTATATATTGTCAATATATAAAAGATTTTTCCTTCTTTTTTCTGTTTGAAAAAAAAATTAGTAGGAAGGAGTATTGGGATTTAAGAATTAAGAAGGGGTAAGAAGGGATTCCATGATTTAAGAGGGGGGAGGGGGACTAAGACGGTTCAAGGTAGGGGTGTATTCGAGCCGAGTCGAGCTCGAGTACCGCTATACTCGAGCTCGACTCGGCTATAATATAATTATACTCGAGCCCGAGCTCGAGCTCGATCGAGTCGGAGAATCACAGCTCGAGCTCGAGCTCGATCGAGTCCTTAAAAAGCTCGAGCTCGACTCGATAAGGGTACTCACCCGTAATTTTTCAGAATTTATTTACCTATATTAGTAATTTTATATATAATTTTTTTTATGTGATACTCGATAGAGCTCGTCGAGCTCTCGAGTATCAAATTTCTGAGCTCGAGCTCGACTCGATAGCTCTAACGAGCAGCTCGAGATCGAGCTCGAGCTCGATGAAGCGAGTTCGAGCTCGAGCTTCTGATCAAGTACATATCGAGCTCGAATCGAGTAGTTTGACTCAGCTCCACCCCTAGTTCAAGGTAGGCATTCCTACACCTGATATAGGTGTCATCTGAATTATTTGATGGAATCGTTTGACAAGAGCGGAACTACAGCAGATGAAGATTGACATAATTTACATTTAGTCATTTATAGATATTAATTTTCACATTGTTTGGTGTAATTCAAACTGACAATTGCAGAGACCTTAAATCGAATTAAAGGAGACATTATTAATAGTTTTGTTTTTTTGGTTTGATAAGAAGGTAGAAAAGACCTATTGCCTCTAAGAGATCTAGAATAAGGTGTTCCAGGCATCTAAATTTTGAGTCTAGACATGCATTGTAGGATTTTCAAAAAACAAAAGGTGATTTTGTATATGCGTCATATATTCAACCGTAATAATGTATACACCGTCAGTGTATATAATATTTACTCTAATAGTTGATACACACCGTAAACTCGATATTTGATATTGATATATTTCAAAATAAAAAAAAGTCATATTGGCGACCTTTTTCTTTGTCACTATAAGATTTGAATGATTTCTATTTCAATTTCGATTATTACACGAGTTAGGACATTTTTCCTTTAAAATTATTTATAATAATACACACGAATTTTTATTTAAAAAATTATCCGTTCTTACCGATCGAGGACAAGCAACTCGCGTATGAGTTACGTGCGTGGTACATTGCGCGTTTGACGGTAGAGGCAGGATACTTGGCAGTGATGCTTCATGCGTGTGCGTTTGTCCTTGCTCGGTAAATTTTTTAATACGGATTATGGAGAGGGACAGAGCGAGAGGGAATAAAAACGAGTGACGGCAAAGCAACCGACTGCGGTTTGCTGACTTTTATTTGTTGAATGGACTTTTGGACCCTTTGGAGGGATTCTGCAGGTGTGTGACGAAAAAGCGCCCTTCTGCAGGTGTTCGCGGTTTCTTTTGTCAGTCAAAATACTAATAAATTGCAATTTAACCCTTCAAAAATTTTTCCAGTTGTGTACTAATCCGGTCCACTTTTTGTCATTTTCCAATTTGATTTTGGAATACTGTAATCTCTTTTCAAGTTGTCAAAATTAATTTTGAAATCGGCCTATTTGGATGGTTGTTGTTAAAAGTGTTCTTTTATAATTTTTTGCTGCAACCATTTCATCTTTAGAGGTATACGTGCAATAAAAAGGATGGTGAAAGAAGGTTGTTTCTCAAAGGACTTTTCCGTTGTGTGATGTGTGCCACATATACTTGTATATAAAAGCGAATTTCCATCATTAAAGTTTCCTGAATTTGAGGGATTGAATGATATTATTTGAAAATTTTAGTGGGTCCATTTCCTTTATTTTAAGTGCTTGTCTTAAGAATCAAATTACGTAATAAAATAGGAAAAACCTTTTTCAAGTGTGTTTGGATAGAGTATTATTTGAAATATTATTTGGAATAATTACTGTAACACTTTTTATGATTTAATGTATGTGAGATAAAAAGTAGTTGAGAATATAAAAAGATAAATTGAAAAATGTGTTTATGATACAAGCGAAATATTACTTTGAGATAAATTTGCAATCCAAACACACTTGTTACAGTTGTATAATAATCAATGCAAATAGTTTTAGCGAAACACTTATATTTCTTATTCAACTTCACTCTGCCAAAAGTTATTTTTTGTACTATGGAGTGAATTATTTTAAATCACCTTAACGACCTCATATTTTATCTAGAAGAATTCCGGTAACATTGATAGCAGCCGTTTAGATTGCATTTTTTGAGGAGTTTTTGAGAAAAATTACTGTAACATTTTTTTAAAATACAATATATATTATTAAAAAATAATTAAAAATTATGTAGAATGAATATTCACAAAAAAAACATAAAAATCTTTCTTCAAAAATTCACAATCTAAACAGGCTGCTTTGAGTGCTGGATGTATATAGTTATGTATAGTGACTTGTTGCTCAATCACCCACTAAACTGCACCTTCTATGTGAGTCCCAAGCTCAAGTTGGCTTCAATTGCAGCAGCCCATGTGTTTGCTTTCGTTTCAATTAGTTGTTTGTTTCCGTTTTTTATGAACTTTCCTTAGCAGCAATATCATTTTCACTATCACTTGAAGCAAAGGTACAGATATATTGGTTGAAAAATGGAGCAAAAGAGGATGGGTATGACAAGATTCTTGAGCGAGGAAATATACAAAATGCAGATTGGACTCTACTCGATTATCAAGCAGTATTATTGTCCATTTTGGTGGTCTTAATTAGTGTACTAGGATGCTAATATGCCTAACTAGTGTGCTAGGATGCTATAACTCCTTGGCTTCTTTTCTCTTTACCCTTACGTTCTCTTTGCCTTCTTTTTACCCTCGATTTTCTCCTTGCCTTCTTTTTTCTTTACCCATATGTTCTCTTTGCCTTCTTTCTATCCTCAATCTTCTCTCTACCGTTCTTCCTCTACAGAAGGGAGATCTTGACCTCAAGTCAAGGTCTCCCGTCCTTTTTCTCTATTTTTATTTTATGTTCAATAAAGTCTCTCCTAGGGTATTTTATTAAAAGTTTTTATTTCTCCTAGTTTTTTATTAGTAAGAGTTTTCTTCTTTCATAACCTATTTTAGTGGGAGTTTTGTTTAGTTTTTATTAATTTTTTTCTCAAATTTAAGAGTTTTTTTAGGTCTATATGTTAGATCTAAAATTTTTTGGATTTTCTCATCAGATTTCAGCATCAATTTTGATCTTGAACCAGTTGAATAGCAAATCTAAGATAATAGACATGCACAGATATGTATGTAGTAGCTCGTGTGCAATTGGTCAGATTCGATGGTATGTGATTTACAATGTAATCTTTTATATTTTATAACTCTGTTAAATCTAATGATTTTTCAGATCAATTACAGAAGTGACATATTTTATGTATTTTCTGCCACTAATGCAGATTTCTTTGTCAAGCAAATCATTTTGGATGATTTTCAACTAATTTATTAATAATATTGGCTTCTTTTTTTATTTAAAAAAAAAGATGCTAATAAGCCTCACTACAAATGATACGCTAAGAAAAAATAGATAACATGATATTAACATAACAAAATTTTTCTTGATTCCTGTTTATCCCTTTAAATTGAGATCATCATTACCCTTGTGTGAATAGTTCTTGATGCTCAATTGGTAAAAGGCTAAATTGTATAAAAGCAAACAGTGAAAGGTGTGTCTCAAGACTCGAGTGGGGGGACTTGCTAGACACTGCCAAGTGTTTGCTTCAATTTTCTAACTTTTCCTTTTTTTTTTTCTC